TAACAAATTAGACTTAAAGACTCACCCTAATATGACTCAGAACATGAAACAGTCAAAATTACGGCTTTTGTCAGGAAATATAAATGAAGAAAACATTGCTTTTAGGCTTAAACAAGTTCGTAAAAATAAAAGGCAAGCACAAGAATCTTTAGAAGATAATATAGAAATGTATGGGGAAGAAGAAGTGACTGAAGTTTTTTTAGACTTACTTCGACCTTAAGTATACTGTATATCGAAGCTACATAGAATCTTTTATTTCTTTATTCATAACTATAATAAAATAGTAAAATAATTATTAATAAAAATTCGAAAAGTTCAACCGTTAAAAAAAATAAGTGACAATGTTACTGTACTACGTATAATTGAAAAAAATCAGGTATATCATATAAATATAGGACTATACATGTATTTGATTTACATAGTGCATAAAACACCCCAATGTGAAGTCAATTAAATTACTTACAATACACTGGTTAAAAATCATTTTTTAACTAAATAATAACTAGTTATTTCTAGTACAAATAATAACTTATTTACTCTTATTTACTATATAATTACTAGGTAATATATGTATTTAAGCATATTAGCTAAAAATATATTAAACTACAAAATATCTTGTAATTATATAGTAAATAAGTTATTATTTGTACTAGAAATAACTGGTTATTATTTAGTTAAAATATGTGTTTTTTAACCAGTAATAGGTGGTCAAATTTTACAAATTCGCCGTAATGAAATATTATCTCTGGCAGATTACAGAAATATGATATTTTCAAAGCAACTTCGCTGGAAAATATTTTTAAAAATTTAGAGGCATATCATTTCGAAAAATTACCAAACACTTAGGTTTAGCATATCTTTTATAAGTCAGGTTCTAATCACTTTCAAAAATATGATGTATTGAAAAGTTTCCATCACTTTCAAAACCACAATTCGAGATGGAACTCTTGTTAGTATACATGGGTGCCTAAATTGCCTATCTTAATAAAAAAGTAATTACAGCATTTAGGTAGCCAAAATTAGTCTTATATAGTGCCGAAATTAATTTTCATATTTGCCGAAATTATTGCTGAAATTTTTTGAACTCTTTTCATCAAAATACACCATATAATATAGTTATTTCGAAAGGTTTCATACAAAAAATTTGACAATACCAAAATGTTTGCCGAAAATACGATTTTTCAAAAATAATTTAGACACCTATGTATACTTGTTAGATGTTATGACAATTTGAAGGGCTACGAACCAACTTGCAACTTGTATATACAAATAAAGTAATATTTATTGTCAGGGATGATGCTGAAATTTTGACTTATTTTATTATGAAATTTTAAAAAATTTTCAGGCCTTTTCGTTAGAGGCTTTTTTTTTAGAGTTAGGATAGGGTTTGAGGGTAGTGTTGTTAGTAAAAAAGCATATGTGAATTTTAGTAGGTATTATAGATTTAAATGGGGACCCTAAATTTCAGCATCAGCCAATTTCAGTATCATCTCCGACATTTATTTATGTACTTCGTGCAATAGAGGGTTTCAAAGTTAACAAATAAGTAATGTATTTCGAAAATAAATAGGATTTTTTCAATAGGATTTTTAAATTGTTGAATTATAAATTGGAAAAATAAATGAGATTCTCTGATTTTAACTTTGAACCCCTAAATATGTTTATTATAAAAGTCTAATTAATATATAGTGCATTTTTTATAACACATTAAACATAAGTTTAATAATGTTGACATTATTATTACAATGGTCTGTAGAACAGTCATTATAAATCAAAAATAGTTTTTATTATACGGATTATGACGAAATTACAAACTTAATCGAATCGGCTGAAAAATTATTCGGCAAATTTTTATCAGGTGTTTCAGGAATTATGAAATAGCTGTAAACAAATCTAATTTACAGAACATTCGGTCTGGAAAAACAGAATTTTCCAGTAAAATGATCTACAAAGTTGACCAGAATTATGAATAATAGGTTCTTCTATTAATCAGATAATATAGATCCGTTGATATAGTTTCATGTCGAATTAAGTATTAATTATGCTAATATATACAATTATTTTGTTACTTATTAAGATATTTATCAGCTATAGCTCAACTGGCTATAAGCGGCTAGCCGACAGCCATCCTATGGCTCGCTAGTGGAGCACATGATGTTGGATATTGTTGTCAGAACGGAATGTATTTCGTCATAGATTTTTGATACGAGACATCTCAGAAATTTCATATCAAGAATCAATGTCGAAAATACTTTAATTTTTCCTTAAAATTATAGCAATAATAAACTTTATCCAAATACTAGCTCATAAATCAATATTAATATTGGTAAACAGCTTACAGCACCCGATTTGTTCTAACAGACTTGATTTTATCATGTAGGTCATTTCTCAATAACACAGATATGAAGAATATAATAAAATTTACACAATGATTGTAATAAAATTTTTATAGTTATTTTCATCAATCATTTTTACAGAAAAGATTTTTTTAAAAAAATATGGCGTGTCAATTAAATACCTTTCTTTATTAATGGCTTGGATTTATCTATACTAGATTTAGTACATATTATAAACTAAATAATTTGACAATTTTATAATTTACTACTCTAAAAATACTATTTTAAAGTATTTTAGAATAAGGCAATTATATAAAAAAGTTTTATAGTTTTAAATATTTTTTTGAATTTTATACAATTTTTTTTTCAGTTTAAAAATTTTAAGATAAAGCTAATTTTATATAGTAATTACTAGTAACTTTAGTAGATAATTTCATTTATAAAATTTTTTTTATTAAATAAATTTATCTAAAATTTTAATTAATTATAAAAATAAGTTAGCTAATATCTAGCTTATAAATTAAACTAATATAGAAGTAATTTCAATTTTAGGTTTTTACTAGTAAATACTATATAAATATTTTTTAAAATTTATATATATAAAAAACATATATGATTTTTTTAAAATTTAAAGTAAAATAACTTATTATAAACTTATTTAACATTAGAGATTTTTTGTAATTAGAATTAGAAGATAAATTTTTATAACTTTCAATTAAAAATTTAAAAATTTTAATCAATAAAAATTTTTTTAATTTTAGCTAAACTTATATAGCTTACTAATAACTTACTATAAATAGTAATGAATTTTTTTTAATTTGGCAGTCTTGCCTTAACTATTTATTAATACTCTAAGGTATTATGGTTACAAATGTACTTATATATATTTACAACTATCTAATTATTACAGATAAAACTTACTCGGTTACTAACTTAGTATCTATATGTGATCTGCTATATGAGATTTTATCTCCTTAGTAACTACCTCTTTTGGCCAGACCAATTACTAAATCACTGGATGGTTTCCAAACCTAAATTATCATATATATACTACTGTACAACATCTACTAGCCAACTTCTACTCCTCAGTACTTATCACATTACTCCTAATTCATTTTTTGTACTATTTTCAAATTGGTGTTTCTCGAGTGGGTGCTCTTGATACTTCCAGTTTGGTGTCCTCAGGATATTACTATAAGAGCCTAGTTCGTATCTCAAGCCAGGTATGGGACCTGCTACCACAACCAGGATATTATTTCACAATTCTCAAACATTAACGTCATATACAACCAAATTAGGCTACTGATCCTTCTATAGTACTCCCTATTGGTATAGTAATACAGAGGTCTGGATCCTTAGGACAGGAGTTAAGTATCTCATTTAATTACTGTTACAATCCAGTAATCTGAGACCCATGCCTCTGCCATGTTTTATCATAGACTTTCATATAGATTGTGTGACTATTACTTCCTAGCTTGTCTTTATTTTTGTACTACCAAATTGCCTGCTTCCATACTTTTAGAGTTTCTTTTAGCCGGTTTTCCTTGTTTCCTTGTGCCAGAGATGTTCTATATTTGATAAAGTCATTCTCTTACCACAGCCCCTTACTATATTTACTGCTTCTCTTACCACTTCTGAATATACCACATTTAGCCATTCTTCTAATCAAATCCCAATGCCATTTTAGGGTTGTTGGTGCTACCTTGCCAATCATAGATTAACATGTACAGCCTTTTGCAGTAATACCTTCTGTGACCCATGTCACATGTAGTGCCTAGTCTTTTCTATAGCTTGGAGCTCCTTCCAATAATTCTTTACTAGCCAAATATATACATCACATGGTTTTACCGCCACAGGGTTTCGCATTTGAAAGCTCTCGAAGGTTACAGAGATAATTAATTAAATTAATTACCACCAGCTGTAATCAAACTATTGACCTTGTCTGTAGAGGGTTAGATGCCCAGACCACTAGGCTACAAGACCCTAACCCCTATAAATAGTAATAATTTATAGTAAATGAAAAAAGAGTTTATAATATAAATAATAATTATTACAATATAACTAATAATAACCTTTTAATTATAATAAGGTTTTAATACAGTATATTTTATATAATTACACTTTCAGTTTACAAATTTTATTAGTAAATTATAATTGTAATTCCTTAATGATGTACTAAATTTAGTACATTAAAAAATACAAAAAATACAAAGTTTAAAAAAACTTTTTTTACAATAATTACAAAAAAAAATATTGCTAAACACTTTTTGAATATTTATCAAATTTTTGTATATAAAAAAAAATTAGGTTTTAAATTTTCTGATTTTTATGAGTTTGAAAAATGTACTAAATTTAGTACAAAACAGTAAATCCAATCAATTAATGATATGAATTCATCTTCATGATAATTTTAAAATTTCATTATCAGCTATCTTTTAATCATCTTGATTGATCTTATTATTATAACTTGTATACCCTAATGTTTTCATTAAAAAATCTATAAGTATCTCTTAAAATATTCCACTTTTTAAGTTCAAAATTAACAAATACACAATTACTAAATTATGGATAATCAAAGATGTTTTTTTATTCTAATGTCAATTCTCTACATTTTATATTTGATTAATGCACAACAAAATGCTAGATCACTTCCTATTTTGTTTCTCAGCAAACTCGGAGAACTAACAAAAAGTACACCTCAATCTTCCATGCCTGATGGAGAAAATCTAATAAAAACACCACCCAGTCTAGCACAAACATGCCACCATCACATAATAAAGTAACAGAACAACCGGCAGAACATATTATATTATAAACTATAAATCCACATAAGATTTTACCACTGAAAACTTCTGTAGCAGTCACTTCAAATATATCTAAACCTTTAGGTGCTACCGCGGGTAATACAACAATGTCATCATCTTGGTTTATTTTAATTTTTGTTAGTAGGATAATTAGAACTTTTGTATAGTTAGGTAGTTATTCCTTCTTACAATAGAAATATTCAGATTTAATTGTAATAATTGTAAAAAAAAAACTTTGTAACATTTTATCATATTTTTATCTATAATATAATAAATATATATTTAAAATAATATCGATATAAAGCTCTATAAAAAATTTACAAAGTTCAATTTTGTAAACATAAAATTTGAATTATAATAATTTGAATTATAATGACAAGGTAAGTGTCATTTAATCTAATACTAAACACAATTGATCAAAGAGTACTTTGCAGATTCAATTTTCACCCATCGAGTGCATTGGTTACAAGAGAGTGACTTTGACTTCTCAAGAAACATGTTTGTTTAAGTATTAATATTAATATATGATAATATAAATTTTTATGTAATTGTAAAATTTAAAATTTGACAACCAAAATAAAAATGTAATATAGTTAATATTATAAATAATCAATACATGTGTTAATTTTCTAACTTTTAATATCTTCCAAAGATTTTTCCAAGCATCTTTATTATTCAACCTATTCCACCATTTTTAACATTAGATTTTTTATCCCACAAATCAGAATGATTAATCAGAATGATTGGCAATAAGTATTTGGATAATGG